CCGCCTTATATCCTTCACTCATTTGCGTGCGCTTTTTCGAAAGAATGAATAAGGTCATGTTTCACTTTCCCCAGCGATTGGGTGCGATGTTTATCAACGGGTGGGTTTCCAGGGAGAGTCGCTGCATCAAACCAAACTCTTCCACTATACACTGCCCCTTGATCATGTGACAACAGGGGAGGACTGTCCAGTTTTACAACTGACCACAGACTGGGCCACCTACGCCAGTAGCCCAGCCCTCGATTCTGAAAAGGGTTCGACCAAATCCCGCGTCGGCCACGCAAAACCGAAAATGTGAGCATGCCTTTTTTGAAAGTAGCCATTTTCTTTTTAGCTTTTTAATTTATTTTTACTAAAGTGGTGGTTTATTGAGCGGGTGCAATGATGGAAGTTACCATAGTGGCCATGTTTAACCAACGAGCTCTCATGAAGTGCACTGGGGAAGTCTCTGGTTCTGTCTGCCAGACGGGACAGTAACTGGAAGTAAGGGTGTAGATGTGTGTCGTGTCCCAGTATTTCCAACAGTATTTCTTCACGGTTGGGTCCTTCGGTTGCGGCACTGCGCATTCCACAAAGGTCCAGGCGTCTGTCCAAACGGTGTCCACGTTGTCCTTCCAGCGAGCTTCCTGGTTTGTCTGCAACATATTGTGGAGCTGGTTTGGTCCCAACAGAGCAGTTCTCACTTATCTTTATGATACTGTGGTCATTGTTTCATGTCCAAAGTCATCAAAAAGCATTCGGTACCTAAAGCTTTCTTTATTTCCATTTGTTTTGAGGATTTTTGAGTAGTTTTATTTTGTCTTTCCTGAAAGATGAGTTAAATATCAAACTGGAATCAGTTGACTTTTACTTTCCACATATTGGTTGGGTGAGGAGAATTGATTTATCTTTGTATAGGAATGTGCAGTGGTGGCTGGCCCTGCTTTCTAACACTCCAACGCGTACTTGTCTCGTTCAGTGAGGCCCACGGCATGATGGAAAAGCTTCATCAGACTTCCGCTTCTCGGCAGTATCTGAGGTTGGACTGTGGCCAGTTTTGTCCCAAGTGGACCTTCCACAGTCAGACCTGGGTCAAATATTATTTGATGTAGAAGTTTAGATCTCCTTGAACACCCATCCAGAGGATAAGAACTCCTAGAGATCAGATATTTTAGTTACTCCGGAGTAAATTAACTTTTTTTCCCTTCCTCTTGATGGTTCGTTTGAAGACTGCTTTGATAGATGTACAGGTTTTGACTGATATGAAGCAGTGCTTTTCAGTTTAAAAGGTGAACATTATACTACCTGACGTTGCTTTGGTTGCCTTTTCAAAAAAGACTGCTGATCAGTGTTACATTTCACGGAGCAGACAAAGAGGAATGACTTCTATGAGCTCTGACACTTTTTTAAATCAAGCGTTAAGTGTCATAGATGTGAAAGTATCTGAAAACAACACTACTTCCCTTTTTTTCTGCTACCGACAGCTAATTGAAGCAAAAGTCCAATTAGCTGCTCTTTGATATAATTTTGCTTGCAAATACTATTTGACCCGGCAGGTCGACTCAGGTCCCGTTATCTTTTTTTGTTTTCATCACATCCAGACAATAAATAAAAGGTACCGGACAGAAAAGCATGTAAAAGACGGTAAAATAGAGTCCGCGAGCGAGATGATGCTCCAAAGAACTTTTAATCGATGACCAAAAGTTAACGTTTTGCTCTTCTTTGAACCGTCACTGGTGGTAATCAAACACATGTTCACGGATTATCGAGTGTGCAGACTCTATTTCTTCTGTCTTCTCTTTTAGTTTGAACTCTTATGACAGACTCATTAACTACCAACGACGATCTCCATTTCAAGCACACAGGTACTTTGGTGCGACACACATGGTTACCTGTTTGTCAGCAGTATTGTGGATCCTTCTCTCCTGTTTTAAGTGTCCGTTTTGTTGTGTTTTTTTTCCTGATGTTGCAGAAAGATTGTGAATGCACAGAGAAGGAGTCGAGTTTAAAAGATGTGAAAACAGAGCCCTCATTGTTGATGGCGGAGCCTACTGTGAATAGGAAAGGTGTGGAAAGAGACTTCCCTCAGACTGCGATGGTCTAACATTAGTTGTTGTAATGATGCGTTTGCTTTGATTTTCTTTTTCCCACCACATTGGAAGATTTAATCAAGATTTTGTCATTAAAAATGATCTGAATGCAGCTTTTCCCTGAGTGCGCCTTTTTTGTTTTTAATGTATGACAGTTCTGAATAACTCACTGTAAAGCTGTTTATGACTGCAGCCTTTTTAAAGATTTATTACTGAATATCTTAATACGATTAGAAACAAACTGTGGAATTTAACCATGCTGCTAATTCCCAGGGTGTGTAAAATCTAATTTTGCTAAATGCTGCTTTGAATTCCTAAATTAAATTACCTGTTTAATAGAAAATCATTTCCCCCTTTTGTTGGTGCTTGAATGTGTTCAAACTAATTATAATTTTCATGTTTTATTCAGTCATTTTTCAGCTTCTACTTTGATAATAATGATAGTTATAAATTATATAAGTTATCAGAACTCAAAGTGATCAATGTCCTAAAAATGATGGTTTTCTTTGACCAGCAGCCCAAAAATATCTACAATATTCAATTCACCATATATGGAACTATAAGAAGCATCGCAATCTCAAAGTTATCTAAACAATACAGCCACAAAAGTGCTTAAAGAGGACAGACATCAACATTTAGAAGAGTTTTGGTAAAGAGGTAAAAGCGAAACGCCCAAGCATGGTTCACATCGTTAATTACGTGGGTTTCTTTTACGTCACCTCGGGCACACACTCAACCATTGTCTTGGTCGTGATTCAAGTCCACGGCGGCAGGAGCTTCGTTCAGCCGGTTAGCACATGGATCAGACCCGAGGCATCGGGCTAATCAGGAAATCACAAGTTGTTTCCCAACTCGCTGGAAACTCCTACAAACTCTACTTGACGCTTCATATGAAGAAGATACTCGATTTGGTCTTGGGTGAAAAGAAGCAGAGCTTGTCCTTTTATGAAATGTATTTACTAGACAATGGAGAGCCAAAACAATTACATTAAGGCTGAAATTTTACCAGATGATGCATTTAAATTCTTAGGAATAGCCCAGTTGTCCAGAGAACACCCCTTGATGGCTTTGAGATAGTTTCTCGCCTCTTGTTTAGCATCTGTGCGTGTCCTCAGTCGCCCTGCTGTTGCAAACCTGTTTGTTCGTCCTGTCAAATACAACACTTTGACAAGTGTCAAGTTGTTCTTCGCAGAAACCTTTAACCTTGACCTTGATGTTTTAGCTGCTTGAAACCAGAGCAAGAAGACCTTTTAGGAACATGGAGTGCTGACATTTAACTATTTGAAGCTCAGACGCTAAATGTCTCCCAGCGGTGAATCTGCTGGCTGAGGAGGCACTGCACTCCAGTGGCAGATGCTTTGCAGTGTCCTTAAAAATGTTTCCCCAACAATAACCATGGACGCGGTAAGGTATTCAAAGATTATCAGTCTATTAATCTGTTTTTTTTGTTGCTTTCTCTTTGACATGTTACACAAGACAGGTGTATATATCACAAAGTCTAATTGAAACATGATTAGAAGACGTATTGTGGATGTAACTTGTTGTGCATCAGGGCCTGACAGGCATCAGGGCCTTACATGCTTTTTAGATGTTTAGTTTTCCTTCTCGCTCAATAACGCACAATCTGCACCCGTCTTTCCTCCAGAAAGTGACTTTAGCGCCGCCGTATGAAGAACATCCGCTCAGGTAATGTGGGCCACTTTTCCCTTGTCCTCCGGCTTTATGAAGCTCGAAGTTCTATGTTTTCATCACCACACTGGGCCTTCACCTCTCTGTTATTACTCAATGTCTTCACTGGGATTTGTTTGCAGGCTTCCCTCTCAACCAGCAGTCGGATATTAAAGCTGCGTCGCTGCTCGGCCCCTCCACCTCCACACTGTCACCGCTGTTAAGACCCCATCTAATGCTCAACAGGAAAAAAGAGAAATACTTCCCAAAATGTTTCCTTTAAGATTTAGAAGTATCATTTTTAACAGGTTGAATGATCCTCTTTTATAAAAAACAGCTCTAGAGGCAGGTTAAGCTTTTGTTATTGACATTTGAATGTGAATGTGGGTAGATAATGGGTTGAGTCAAATATAGCAGACAGACTAAATGAATGGAATAAATCATAAAGGAAAGTGCAAAACTGCTGGAGAACGTTTCAAACCTAAAAGAAAGAGCAGATAAAGCTCTGAGTAATATCTCAACGATCTGAGCGTACACACACACACACACACACACAGACCTACCTCATCCTCAACAATGCCTCCTCTGGTCCGCCTCCATCTTCCCTATATGGAACCTCAGAACACCTGTTCCCGGGCCAATCCGGACACAGTGTGAGACGTAGCTCCTCCCACTGCAGCTGATACGGCGTTACCATGGGTTACAGGGTGGTGGCCAGCTCGGTCTCCATCCCTCTGGTGAGGAGACTTTTTCCTCCTCATCTCCTCAGGCTTCAGCAGCACAACACTGCTGCAGCAGCTTTAAATCAGCTGCAGTCAGAGTGATGACAGTCCGTCAATAATTAGTAATAATTCAGTGTGCTCGGAGTGCTCTTGTTCATGATGAGCTTCTCTGAATGTCGTGTCTGCACATCAAGACAGCTGTTGCAAATGTGAAACATCAACTGTGTTCATGCTTTATTTATAAAGTCAACTGATCAAACAGCTAACACAAATTGCAGACACACGAAGCCATGAAATATAGAAAAAGCTATTTGTATTTATTTATAAAACTAATTCACAGGCCTACAGTGCATGACAGAAATGTCTTCCTGTTGGCAGGCGGGTTTGTCCTGTTTGTCTTTCCTCTCCTCACTCACTTCCACCTTTCTCCTACAAGGAAGAAATGTGAGTTTTTACAGATAAAGATCTGTGTCAAAGTGATGAGATCAACTTTAATATTATTCTTTAATAATGAAAGAGAGGAACATGTCTTTGAGTAAATATTAGAAAAGCTCCTTTCTCTCTGGGTGGGCGGGCGGGTGTACATGTTTGATTGACAGCACAATGCAAACAAACATGTAACTGTATTTTACAAGTCAAGAGCAGTCGTGTTGAGGTGTGAGGACGACAAAATTTAGCATCTAAACTGAGCGACTTGTTCACTGTGCTACAGCTCACCGGCTAATTACCCATCTAGCAGTGGACTCTTCCTCTGTTGGATGTTGGTTTTGGTCGCTCATTTGTTCATTTCGTAAATTGTGGTCCGTTTGGAGTAAAATAGACCATAAAGCAGGGCATGCTTCAGTACGGGGCTACCTTGTGATTGACAGGTCTCTACCTGAGGTTGCCCAGTCTGGGAGTTGTCCGTGTTTCCTTCTTAACTTTAACCCTTTCACAATGTGTTTTCAGTTCAGGAAAGTTAATTGTAACTTTTTGCTCGCTTAAAAAAAGTTGAATTCAGCATTCGGTTGTGCTTAGCTCCACCCTCTCGCGTTACTTCTAGTTGCATATTAAACAAGATGGCGAAGGCCAAAAGGCTGAACTCGAGGCTTCAAAACGACAGTCCACAAACGAATGTGTGACGCCCACTTCTTATTTATTGTCTATGGCAGCTGCCCCAGGGCCTCAAACAACCAGGGGCCCTGTAGTAAAGTCACAAAAGTGAATGCTGCTTCTATTCTCTTCTGTTTTATTCTATTCTCTCAAATCTTCACTTTTCTAGGCTTTGGCTTCTTTTGAAAACATCAGCCCCGGCTTCATTGTGAACGCTGATTCATTTCAATTTCCTCCACGTTTGGATCTATTCTCCTGCAAATACCAGCAAATAATAAATTGTCTTCATTCAGATTGACAAACCGCTGTGTAAACTGAACTGGACAGAAGCAATAATCTAATCTAATAAGCAGCTCCACTTTGTTTTCATTGGGAGCGGCCCATTAGACTCCACTCATGCTGCTGATCTCACAACGTGTCCTACATCTGTTCCTGGATGCCAGGACCGTGCCCTTCCTGTCCAGAGACCAGACTCTCTCTCTCTCTGCCTCTTCTGTATATCGGGCACGCTGCCAACTTTCCCCTCTAATCGTCAACCCCCCACCGCCCTGTCTCGGCGGGAGACCTTTGTTTTGCGGAGCTGTCTCAGCCTTTGGGCGTGGCTGCACCCTCAACATTTTTCCTTTTCAGTATCCACCTCTGACATTCAGACATCAGACTGTTGGCTTCTCCTGCAGAGATGACCACCCACCCACACACACACACACACACACACACACACACACAAACCGGCCCTCACAGCCCCCTGGGAGAGGAAATAGCAGCAGCAAAGCCATTTGCTGCACACCACGTTGTTATGGCAACTGTGTGGACATGGACTCAGTGCTGAAATGTTTTTAATGGAGGTTTGTGCAGAAGAGCTTTTGTCTGCTACTATGTGAGTCAGTATTAACATATTTGAAGCTGTTCCTGCCGGCTCTCATTGATCATCGTGCACCACTGATTTATTTCCACCACGAGGTTCAACTGAAAATGTTATGTTCATTACAAACCATCATTAATACAGATACATATTTGTCAAACTACAATCTATAACTTTTAATCCACATATGTAGGATATTATTAGTTGTCATGGCTCTTTTCCTTTGTGACTTTAGTTATTACTTATAATATACACAAATGCAGCACTCCAGTAAGAATGTATATAAGTAATAGCTAAAGTCACACACATATATATATATATATATAAATAAAAAAGATACATTATTGCTTATGGGAACATTGTTGTGATATCCCTATGATGTTATTCTAATGTATTCTAAGGTACAAATAAATACGATAACCAGACTCCAGTAACAGTCAAATGACACATCCGCGTCAGATTTAATACTTTTCGATCCGGCCTATGATTGCATTGGTAAAGTTCTCACCATGTCTGATGACTTGAAGGCCGTTACAAACAATGATTACAGGAGCGTTACAGTAGCAGTAAGAATGACAAGCCTTGAGAATGCTATCACAATTGATTTGTTGCTGAGAACAGAGTTGTGTGCAGAAATTATTATGCATCTGGTATGCTTTTAACAAATGTTTCGGAGAATTTGGACTACTGATTTTCTGTCGTGAATCTGTGTCAATAACTTAGCAATCTTATCTTTTATCTTCTTGGATGCAGAACATGTGATAGACTTTTACTAACCCCAAGTACGATAAATGTCCAGCTCGTGTTGCTGACATATTGATGGAGTTGAATGTGTATTTCTCACAGTAAAATATCAATGCAACCCATTACACTGGTAAAAGGGTTTAAAGAGGGGCAGCTTCCTGAATACATTGAATACTGTTGGGATCTGACCCTGCTCTCCTGGCTGGCTGAGACCTTCACACGTGTTTTTCAAACAAAGGAGCAGCCATGTTCCTTCCTTTCACCAAAACGCCTGACCTGGGGTCTGCAAGAAACCTCATGCCGGATGACCACACCCCCCAGCTCCAGCAGAAACCTGATGCTGGTCCCTCATTGGCCAAGAAAGGGCCCCCCACTGGTTGTGCCACCTGGTTTATAAGCCTGAGCACAGCTATAATTCTTCCTCTTCCGTCCAGACACCGCTGGTGTCAGGAGATCCACAAGGCCTCTTCCCTCCGGACCTCGTCCTGGCAACAAGAAGATTCACGAGGAGCCGCGGCCTCATCAAATCCTATCAGGTCACATGCAAACATTCGCTGGTCGAACAGACTGTGTTTTATTTTGAGTTTTGGATCCTGTAGTGCGAGAACGGATAACTTCTATGCCCCGTTACATTCCCAACAATACTGTAGCCACAGTGTGGTATACTGTGTGGTGTATATAGTAAGTGACATTACTCTATGCGACAGCAGAGAGTCAAAAGCATGAAAATAATTTGAACATTGTGGAGAGAAGAAATTCTGATGCTGGAAAAAGTGTCAAGTTTGCAAAGCCCGAAAACAGTTGACAAAGCAGATGTTTCCAGTGCAGGAGTTTGCTGAGGTATAGTCAATATAACAGTGGGCGTGTATTACTGGATATAGTAACAGATTCTATTTACTTTCAGTGGCCATGCTTTTGGTTGTAAAACTCAAAGTAAGGTGGAAATTAAACTAAGAATATGATGTTGAAATGATGGGCAGTCTTGGCCCCAAACAGACTTGTATCCCCCTCTAGAGGAAGCCTGTCGGAACAGAGGTTTCCAGGCAAAATATTCCACTATATTATATTCTACCTAAAGGTCTGTTGACTACTACAGTGAGTACCCCAGCCATAAAGTTGGATGACTGACATGAAACAAATTTAAGAAAGAAAATAGTCAAAATAGAGCCAGAAATGCTGAGATATGTCTTTTAGTCCCCAATATATAGGGTCAATCTCCATAAACACTGGCTACAATTCCCATAATGCAACTTATAGGATAATTCAATGTGACTGTCCCTGCATCCGTTTTTCTTTCATGTCCAAGCTCAAACACAGATAACCCCGATGACGTCATCGGGGTTGATAAGCTCCCCCTACACAACATGTCACTGTTACATGTCTTGGTTTAATGTTTAAACTTTTTGTTTGAAAACTGCGCACTTTTCTACCATTTTTTTGCGGGTTGTTTTCTGTCCATCACACTCACCTGTCATCACTACATATAATCTGTTGATGATTCAGAGTCTTCTATACCTGTCCTATACCTGCCTCCCTCCAGCACCACATATGGCTGAGACAATCAGGCCGCGTGTGGTGCTGAAGGGACAGCTCCCTTCAATGCTGGACTGGGTGTGACTTTTGGGGGAGCTCTCCGTGGTGCTGAACGCATCTTGACCTTGAACTTTGTGCCAGAAACGCCCCTCTGAGACACACAATAGACACAGAGACCCAAATGTATGACATGCTTCACTTGTTTGATTACTCAGCTTTTGGACTCACTGACAGGCGGGCCACTGCACCCTGATGGATTAGAGCTTGATCGAACAGGTTTGTAGCGTGGGACAATAAATGACCGATCACTTCCGGACGCTCGGGTCAGATGCGCTCCCGTCACCACCGGTCTGTGGACGAGTTCACACAGGCTACAGGTAATACCTCATCCTCCTCCTCATAGCCCATTGGATCTTTAATAGAGTAGGTCTCTCTCTCATATGCTAAGACTCGTGAAATCGCACGAGCATATGCTGGAGGCTAGCAGGGCTAATCTAGACTCATGAGTAAGCAAATCAAAACTGTGTGCCGATCATAGACCGGGAGAACGGCGGAGGATTTTCTCACATCTTGCCCTGATATCTCAGAATATATCGCGGTGCATATCTCTCTCCCTACAGTGGGAGTGTTTTCACGGAGCAGTATAGCTGAACAGATCTTTTGTCACAGTGCGACCACCTGCGCGTGAATACCGGCAAAAAGGCGGTGGCTGTCCAAGTCCGCGGAGCTGAAAAAAAACAGAACAAGAAAAGAAAAAGAAGCAGCGGAGAGACTCTGAGCGTCTGTGCCACTATACTTCCCCCCCAGAAACCTACACAGTCTCACACCCCCCACCTGCAAGGCATGTCGACCGCCGGGGAAGTACCAGACTTCTTCAAGAGCATGGGCTCCGACAGCCCGTCCAGGCCCAGGCAGAAATTCTGTGGCGTGTTCTGCCCGGTGGAAGGCTCCTCGGACAGCAAGACGCTGGACTTTGACGCTCTCTCGGGGTGCAGGGGCAAGAGTGACGGGCGAGTCATTGACCGGCAGACCGACATCTCCCAGCCGAGGAAGGTGGAGATCAGGGAGAGCACGGGGAAAGAAGCTCTACAGAACCTGGACGATAAAAGGGTAATTTTCTCTTATTTGTCCATGCTTATTGCGCATGTTTTTTTTGCGCCCCTCTTTCTCTTTTATTTTGTCTGTCTTTCTCTCCACCTTCTCCATCTTCGCACAAAACGGCGCCATTTACATTTAAAAGGTATTTCAATTTACAGCCTCCACTCATTTGAGTTTGTGTAAGCTTGCAGTTCAATGTATGCTTGACAACTTGCCCCGACTACATTTCCCAGAAGGCAATGCGATGCAACGGAATCGATGGAGGGGCCTACCATGCAGAGCAACCAGAGGGAGTGGCTCCTGTTAGTTGAAGCTTGTGTTGATTTTGCTACACAGTGCAGCTGATGGTACAACACTGTTGTACTGTTCATGAAGTGTCCTTGAGCAAAACGCCTATTGAGAGGTCTGAATGAGAAAAATCAGAGAAAACCTGGTTCTGAATGGGACACAGATGATGTTATGTGGTTGCTGCATTATTGTGCTCGTGCATTAAGTTATTCTCCACCAGCGTTGAGGGTGTGGGCCTGATGGACAAGAGATGGCAGCTTTGACTTGCATGACTTGGAAGAAAAATCCGTCAACTTTTTCTGCTGCTGGTTCAAACTCACCATCCAGCTTCTGCTGCTGGGTGGTGAACCGTGGTGCTGACATTACCAGCACTTCCTTTACTTAATACTCAGCACTCAGGGTGCTGTTAAGAGCTTCATATAGTGTTGCCGAGCCTCATGTTACATATTGATTGGAAGCATTAGCCATGCATACTGCTCTTTACCTCCTCTCGCTTAAATCTCTTTAACTCTTATACGTGTAGTAGTTCGCTCTGCTCTTCTCTGATGAACGAATATATTTGAAATTAATTGATTTGTTCTTGCAGATTATTGATAAGACGGACACAATAAAACAATGGGATGTTTACAGGCAAGCCTACATCTTAGCATCCGGCTTGATTATCACATCAGCAGACTGCAGTGGTGGAAAGTAACTGAGTATATTTACTCAACTGTACTTACAGTACAATGGTAATTTACTTGAGTATTTACATTTCTACTCCACTTCTTGTCAGATGCAAATATTGCACTTTCTTACTCCACATTTATTGAGGAATTAGTTACTTTGCAGATTCAGATTCATAATACAAAATATAATCAACAACTCATTTATGAAATAATTATAATGAAATATCGGACATTATTGATCCCATGGTAAAATTCAAAAGCTGCTGCAGCTGTATATAAAGATATTAAACACATTAAATAATTAAATATCTTTACACATTAACGCGTCACTATAAATATTTATGACGCTTAAACTTTCACACTGTTCTACAAAGATATATATATATATATATATTAAAAAAGAATATTAAGTAGTACTGTAGTACTGAGTTGGCAGAGTGGTGCAGTGGTTATCACTGCAGCCTCACAGTTAGAAAGTTTGTGTGTTCGATCCCCGGTCTTTCTGTGTCATAAATAGACTGTATATAAGAGGGTGTAACTGACCAGCTGAAAGCAGAAAAAGAATAAAATATTGAATGAAAGATCTTCTTCCACCACTGACAGACAGAAAAGCTCCATATTCTAAATAAAGATTGAACTTTGGATAATGCCTCAGACTTTTGCAGCCTTTTAAAAATAAAACCCTTATAGCGAGTCTGTGGCTCTTTAAATTAAAGTCATGTTATTTAAAAAGAAGAAACAACACTTCCTCTCTCTTATAAATGAAAAGTTGAATACATAAGAAATAAAAATGCATTTTCTCAATTCGATAAAACCAAGGGGTTAGCTGTCGCAGCTTCACTTGGTCTGGTGGTCAGCTCATACTAACAAACTGTCTATTGCTCTATAGCTGCTGAGTCAGTTTACTGAATCTTCTCTACTAATGTTCTGTGAGCAAAGAAAGAAGTAAGCGGACGTCCATATTCCCACATTAAAAAGAAAAAAAACATTGCAGTTGTCCACAATTCTTCAAACCCCATCGTGTCCTATATGTGCTGTCTCCTCTGGTCCCAACAAGTTTCCCTTCCTGTCTCTAGTCACATCTTAAAACTATCTTTGGAAAAATTAACTTAAAAAAAAATCACCAATAAGTAGTGATTCAAGAAAATGGCTGAAACGAGCTCATCAGAGCTAGAAACAGGTGAAGTGGTCTGAGCACCGACTGAGATTTGATTCATTCTCATAAAAAACAGGTTTGTAAAACGCAACACATGAAGAAGAGTCAAGATGGCTGCTGGCTGCTCCTTCATCTGTTCAGCTGGTGCACTCCCTGCCTTCACTAATCCGAAGGAGAGCAAATTGATGGCATTAGTGGCTCTTTCCTGTCAATGGTAACAGGGCGAGGCTCTGCGCATGCTCCGTGGTGCCCTTTCATTGGGACGAGGCTCGCGAGCGGTCCCTCCCCTCCCCTCTCTCTCGTCTCACTCCGTCTGGGAAGGAAAAAAAAAAGGTTTGGTGCATCGGCGGAGACCGGGCGGCTGCCAGGACGCGATCCGGAGTTGAGAGACAACTTTCTTTCCATCTGTGGCCTTCCGAGGATCAGCTGAGTTCTCATCCTTCTTCTGCTTCATCGTTTCAACCACGCGAGCCCCGGTAATCCGTAACATCCCGTCACATTGATTGCGGTCCAAGGCGCAGCGCGAGACGAACCACCGGCGAACATGTCTGGCTACCAGGGAAAGAAGAACATCCCCCGCATCACAGTGAGTGTTTTGTGTGTGTTTTTTTTTCTTTAACGTCGAAGTAGCTGAGAGTGTAAGCTCTCGGGTGTCCCGGGCGGGTGGGCCTGCTGCTGCGGATGGTGTGCGCGCCGCGCCGGGTGCAGGATGTCACCGGCATGGTGCCGCTCCCCTCGATTACAACCGGTGCTCGGAGCTGCTGAAGGGCACGGCCGCTGGGATGCTTTTTTGCAGACGCCCCTCGGTTTATTTTTGATGATGAAATCTGCTTCACGGAAACTGAAACCGCACGTTAGGATCGATTATTCAATGTGGCCGCCGATAGCGTGGTGGTGGTGGTGGTGGGGCTGGCAAATGTCTTCTTTTTTTTTTTTGCAGCATCTTTGCGACAATTGCTCGGCTCCGTCTGCTGAATAAAATGCTCATAAAATATATCACCGCTGCGGATTCACGCTCGTGTCTGCCGGTCTCTCTCCGGGGTATTAATGACAGTGGAGCTTTTCACGCCGGTGGTCTTTGTTACGCTGGGGCTCTGGGAGCCGGCTATCTGTGCACACCCACTGGTGAGGCCAATGCTTCCCCTGCTGTAACACTCAGCACCCGGGCAGGATTATTCCCAATCTCTCCTTCTCACTGTGGCACATTGGTGGATGTTTCTGTGGGCCAGGTTATTTCCCTGAATTCATAGCGGTATCGCAGGGATGGCTGGTGGTGGTTCAATGGAAAGTAGAGAATAGGGGAGGGGAGGGGAGGGGAAGGGAGAGAGGGGGGGCGGATCCTATTTCCTTCCATGTTTCTCTCTCTCTCTCAGTTGTGTAACGAAGATGAAGGGGAAGATGCACGTGCAGGCGGAGTCGATCATGGAGGAGGAGTAGTGAAATGACTGGGCTGAATTATTAAAGGTGGGTCCGAACATGCAGAACAAAAGCCACATGGGGGGGGGGGATGTGCGTCTCATTGTGGGCTCTCGATACCAGTATGAGTCGATGCTTTGGTGCAGATACTAAATGAATCACTTGGTTTATACTCTAACCAGGGGGGCGTAAGTCCTTTTGATCAAATCAAATCCCCTTACCACAATAAACTATAATCAGGACATTGGCATGATGAGGGTGGGGTGGCCGCTGCTAGGAGGGACGAGGGGCCTTTTTAAAAGCGTCCATTCCCAGGGGCCCATCGTCTCCTGTATGCTCTATTAGCAGAGGCCCTAACCTGGCCGGACGCCAGACAGTGCAGCCAAGGTGACCACCGCCAATGTGTCCCCGCTCATGCACATGTTCCGAAGTTGGAATCGTTGTACTGCAAAGATGCACGCGAACGTCTCTGTGGAGCCGCGCGGAGAGGGGTGTTGTGGGTAACTGTATCTCCAAAGGTGTCCCAAAGGCACTCTTAGTCAGATAGTCTTAGTCTATGCATGCTGCTAGGAGAAGAAACACAAACTGACATTTGTCTAATTACATGCAAAATAGTGGAGAAGATTAATCTCACCTTTTATGTTCCACTAGTTAACTTTAAGCTTAAATGTATTGCTTATATTGATTGTTTGTAAAGACAGAGGACGTTGAGACGACTCGTCTTACTAGTTACTAGCTGATATCATGGCGTCCTCAGAGAACACAGCAGCCAGCCTCTCAGGTGAATCATTGTCCTCCTGGACTCTCTTGCAGAGTGCTTGCAGCCAGTTGGCGGAGAGCTCAGAGGATTAGTAAAGGTTCTAGTCCCAGTAGTGATTAAGTCAGACCTAAATGGATCCAAAGTCTATTCCTGAACAGTGCATGGAAGAAAAAGAAGGTCAGCGGCAGAATTCCAAATGTTGTTTTTTTTTCCTTCTATCTCTAAAGAACCGAGCATTGATGAATGTGTTGCGTGAGACTGCGGCCCACTGAACAGGAGAGTCCCTTAGTGCACTTTGTGGACGTCGTGTTTCCAGCCGGTCCCGGCTCAGAACCACCTGCGTCACCACTGGGCTTCTCCGAGAGTGAAGAAGTGGATGAAGCTTGTTAAACCAGACAGAGAGCGGAGAGGAAATGAGGTTGAAGCTAAATAGGAAAGGCTGCAGCAGTGACAAAGGAACCCTGTGTGTTCGTGGCCAATCAAATATCAGTTTTCATCATAATGCTGAATTTGAACGTCTCCTCCATCCATCCTCAATCATTAGGGGTGGAGCGTCCTGGTTTGTCTAGGACAGATGGTGTCGGGTCAGCGTCGCGGGCAGAGACGTACTTAAGGCGGATCTCATCAAATATGAATGAACCTCCACAAGTTCACCACCTGGGTTTAGCATACAGCTAAACAGTGCAAAATAGTGCAAATACTAATGTTTTTTTTTTAGGGTTTGGTCTTTTAAAATGTAAATAAATTGCCCATTGCTAGTTCCAGAGCACAGCTGGATAAATATAAATAACCTAATCGATCGATAGATTATCAAAACTGGTATCAATTGGCAGCTCGTTTCAGCATAAGAGTCGAGCCAAAGTTATTTTTGCCCGAAGTAAGTGCAGCATAAAGAGAAGGATATGAATACAGGTGAAAACAAAGCCAGCGTTTCAGTGCAGTACATGCAGCTCTACCGTCCACGTTAACGGAAGGTAAAAATAGACTGTGGCTATAAGGAGACGGTCCCGGATTACAGGCCCTGGGACTACAATCCTCAGCTGATGAGAGATCACCAGGTGGTCTGCTAGTGTACCTGTAGTACAGCAGCAGTTGTCCCCAGTGGCAGCACATTGCTCAGCAGCCCGCTGTCTGCTCCCACATCACACACAGCGGGCTGCTCTCCAGATCACACACACACACACACACACACACACACACACACACACCAGCTCAATGCGACTCTGAATTCACCCATTCATTTGTTTTTATTAATCGGCACCTGAACAGAGGAGAATACTGTCGAGTAGAATCTGTAACGGCATCGCGGTGCCTCCAGCTGCACTATGTTCTCGATTAAACTGCACAAAGAGGTCAATGAGGGTGATGATGGTTGTTTCAGTTGAAGAGATAATTAATGTGAGTATTTCGTGGTCAAAGAGAGAATTCAAGTGAAATATCATAGACTATCATAGGCACGTTATCAACGTCTTGAAGAGAATTCAAGACATTTTTATTTTTGTCAGGCAAAGACAGCATTTATGTGAATATCTTATCATCTAAGACAACTTAAGCTTTTTAAGTGAAGTTCATCTCAAGATAATTTCAAAGTGAATAATTCAGTGAAAGACGGACTCAAATGAATGAGTCCAGTTTCTGTGAGAAGTCGTGCAGGTGCTTCATCCTCTGAATTCTATGAAACGAAGGACATACTCTAACAATACAAATCTCCAAATATCACTTTAAGAATCACTCACACACACACACACACACACACACACACACACACACAAATCACTGTTGTGCTGGATTTTCCAAGGTGTTCAGTTACACATTTATCCCTCTGGGAATTTGTCTTTGTTGTTCCTGTTGAGCTGGTTATTTTGAAGCAGCGGGTCTTATTAAAGGTCAGTGTGTGTTTTTAAAGCAGTGGTCTGAACATGCACTCAGATGATTTTGGTAGCTGCCTTTTTGAGTAATCCAGGACACTCGTAAATCAACGTGCTGACTGTCTGACCTGGCAGCGTTTCTCCACCTGACTTCACAAATGTTCCCCGGATAGTTTCCAGTCGGACAACAACACAACACGCCGCGTTGCCGGGTTACGGCTCGACACTGGCAGACCTTTCCACAGCAGCCGAGTGGATTTCATCCTGATTTTGTGAAAGTTTTTGTCCCCTGTTGAGGGTTCTAGCTTTCACCTGTGTGGTTTTGTTTATACAAAACACATGTTTAATGATCATATCTTAAAGATTGTTTTAAGGTGAAATCTGTAAGATCGTTCCAAAATTTTAGTTTAAAGCATACATAATGAGATGAGATGAAAGGTTACAGTGTTGATGTTCCTTTTAAAGACGTTTATGTGTTGTGTTGCAGACATATCGAAGTACATACTGAAATGAGCATGCTAACCAGCTAGCCCCGGCTAGTCCTGTCTTGTAATGCACACGTACCGGTGATGGTGAGCCTCTGCAGCATCCAGGCTGTCCTGGGTCCAACATGAGAGGACGAAGAAGGTAGCGCTACCTCGAAGACTTGTCAATAACGTTGAAAAAACGACTCGTATTTTTGGGTTTCGACCACTTCGCCTGGAGGAGGGCGGGCTCCTGTTAGCTGTAGCAACTAGCATTCAGCCAGCATGAATGCCACTGCTCTTCATGGCACTACCCGCCCTGTGCAGCATTTCAAGCGCAACAACAGCCAGGATGTTAAGAAAGTTATTGCCTTAAACCAAACAAATAAGCAGTGAATGATTAAACATTGTGCAAGTAGCTTCACAGAAGTGGTTTTTCTCAAGTCATGCTAGACCAATTCCATGTTTGTGCTATGACATTAGCATTAGCGGGGTAGTGTGGCATGAAAACACAGTGGCCCAACAACAGTGCGCCCATTGAGCTTCATCCACATCCTGTTTGTGAGCTTGTGAGAGGTTCCCATGAGGGAAAGGTCACTGTCATGTTTGGCTCTGAGCCAGTACAATCAGACACACTCTCTCTCCCAACCCCTGTGTGCTCCAAAACAATCAGAGGATTATACAGTCTAGTTTCAGGGAGAGGCATTGTTCTGCTAATTTTTTTCCCCCCCTGTCTTTTTTCTGCGTTCGGCAGCTGAAGCTAAAGGACAAAAAGAAAACACCTCTTTAGTGAGACTTTCTCAAACTATCTGCCTCTCAAAACCCCCAAAACGAGCCCATCACTATGGATCCAAAATGAGTAATTGCTTCTGCTTCTGTTTTGCTGAGCAGCTTTGTGTCCGTGTGAAAATATGAGCGTCGACTCGAGAGCCGAGGTCTCTTGGCGAGCTCCACTAAGCACTGGGATCATGGCAGTCGGTCGTGACGAGGCTCATGATGTAACGACATATTTCAGAGCCAAGTTGTCGCGGTTTGAAAAGCGTTGGGCTGGAGCGAGGCCTGCCGCTCTGCAATAGATCCAAGATCACCACGTGATGTGTTCACGTCAGTTCCATCAGCGCTGTCGGAGCGTCACCACGCCTTTCAGTTGACCACTGCTCAGTGTTTTCCAGACCTGCTGCAGTCAGCAGGCGTGTGTGTGTGTGTGTGTGTGTGTGTGTGTGTGTGTGTGTGTGTGTGTGTGTGTGTACTGTTGGGTTGGGCACTGTTTGTGTGCATGTCTTCCTCCCTTTATTCAAAAGTGCTCGGCCGCCAAAGAAGTTAAAGAGTTTCTTTCCAAAAGCAAAGAGGATATGTCTTAATCAAACTTGTACGGCATTCATGATTTTAAAAAGATACACTTTGTTGATCAGCATTTTCAAAAACATTGAAACATTTAAGCACAAACTGGTTCCTACAAATACACCTAGAGTTGTTTTTTTGTTTCATAAACGGACATTTCTGAGCTTTGGATGGATATGATTTATACATATCTATTCACATGATGATCTATAATTCAAGGCGCATGCTACTGCACATGTTTGAATCCTTGTGTGGCTCCAGAGGGAGCTACGTTTGTGAAGTCTGATATGTTTCCTTAAGTGTCAAGGACCGAACACCAGAAGTTTAAAAAAAGGAAACAAAAATCTGGGGGTGTGAAGTGCGGAGAAAGAAGTGAGCTCGCCAGACCACTGCACCTCTGACTGAACTGTTGGCGGTCAAGTTGCATTGTGGGTAATGTAGGCCCCAGGTTTTGACAAGGAAGAAGAATGCTGGGAATAAAATAAAAAATAGCTCTTGTTCAGCTGCATCCATCATTAGTCGGACAGTGTTGTGTTCTTCAAAGATTACTTTTGCAGCTAAAAATGATTTTAATTATTGATTAATCCGTCAGAAAATAGTGCAATATCACAATTTCCTAGAGCCCAATGGTGAGAACTCCCCCCCCCCCCCCTAGATTTAGTTTGATCTGTGGCCGAGCAGCCTGATCGGGAGTCTCGAAAGTATCCTGTAATATTTGACAAAGCGGAGTCCTGCGGTGCTCAGCTGTGTGTGTGCTGGTTCACATGCAGGGCGGGGTCCCAGACCGGGAGCCTTTGCAGAGTGGCAGCAGTTGTGTTTCGGGGCCAGAGCTGCTGGCCGGCTCGGAACAGAGCAGCCTTTGTTAGCCGGGGGATGCTGGAGGCCTTGTGACCAGAGCCGCCACTCCCTTTTTGGACAGAGCGACTCCAGGGAGGAACGGTGGTAGGGGGGCTCAGAGTGGGAGCCTGTGGAGGTGGCAGACCCCCCCCCCCCTGCAGAGAAACACAAGTGGCACAGCAGCAGGCGTGGAGGCGTGGATGATTGATTACACAGTCTGTGCCCTGATTGGTTCTCACGTGTCCGTTCCCGTGAGCCACATGAAGGGGACGGAGGAGTGTGTCTGGAGGGCGGGCTCCTGTCCTCATTGTTGCACCAGTGAAAGCTTTACACCCCTCATTCTGTCGCTCAAGCAGAGCGGGATGAAGAATCACTCATAGTCATCGTTCAAACATCCACGCAGAAACCCGGAGCGGATCCAAACATCACAGCTCTGCTCTGTGTCTGCGCCCCCCCCTCCACCCATTGGATTAGTAGTAAGACTGGGTTTATGGGTATCTGTGTGTGGAGATGAAGAGAGCCAGTATCTGCACAGCCGTGTGTTCCTTATCAGAATGCATCCTAAAAAAAAAGGCTAAGCAAAGCCTGCTATATAAATTCGGCAGGTTTGGCGTGTTTATTTTTTATTGTGACATTTCCCAAAATGCCTTTCATCAAATGCACTCAATCCAGCATGAAATGGAGCCAAAATCAGATACTCGCCGCTCATAAAGGGTATTTTTATAGGCGTCTATAAAACCCTAGACCGTGTTCTGGTCTGCAGTGTCTGGTTCCTATACAGCTCGACGTGAGCTTTTCCCCACAAACTATTTAATGCAGCGTTTACGTGTAATGTGCGGCGACTGAATCCTTTTTATTTGTTTTCCAGAGTGACCGTCTCCTCATCAAAGGAGGGAAGATTGTGAACGATGACCAGTCCTTCTGCGCTGACGTCTATATGGAGGATGGAGTCATCAAGTGAGTTTACTGGGATTTATTCTTTTACGCTGCTGAGAGAAAAACCCACAGCTCATCACCTCTACAAAGTGATAATGGATCTCTGTCTCTCTCTTTTTAGTACAATTGTAACAAAATAAAATCTGGCACATTTACATGATGGAAGTGCTCATGTGTTAATTAATGTGCATTGCACCTTCTTAAAGGGACAGTGTGTAGGATTTGGTGGCCTCCAGTGTTGAGGTTGCAGATTGCAACCAACTGAATACTCCTCCGCTCACCCCTCCCCTTCCTCTTGGAAGGCAACGTGAGCCGCAGAGTTCAAAACAGTGGTGACGCCGTTAGCCTCGCTCAGAGGCTTTTACCAGAATAACAATACACACGGTACCGCTATTTTGCCCTCTGCTGCTCACATTACCTCAGTTTGACGGAGAACTACGGCGAAAGGCTCTCTGGAGCCAGTGTTTAGTTTGTCCGTTCTGGGCTGCCGTAGAAAACATGGCGGTGCAACATGGCGGACTCCGACTCTTGGGGCTCATTCTAAACACAATATATATTATACTCTGATGAAAACATAGTTATGACAACTGTATACCATTATTGCTATTAGATCATGTGAAGTGTTTATAACTGATGTGAAGCTGTAATTTGTGTAATTTCCTTGTTTTTTCATTTCTCCGTTTTGTACGTTCTTGTCAACAGACAAATCGGGGAGAATCTCATCGTGCCCGGCGGGGTGAAAACCATCGACGCCCACGGCCGCATGTTGATGCCGGGCGGCATCGACGTGCACACGCGCTTCCAGATGCCCGATCGAGGCATGGTGTCCGCCGACGACTTCTACCAGGGCACCAAGGCTGCGCTGGGCGGAGGCACCACCATGATCAGTGAGTAAGATCTGGGCCTTAATACCTCGGTCTCCTTCCGGGTCCTTTCTGTGAGGGAATCAAAGCTGACCGAGGTGTCTGCAGAGCGTCTTTCCCTCTGCAGTGGTCCTTCACTCCCCGTTTGGGCTTTAATTGAACACGTCTTAACGAGACCAGGAAGTGTGCCAAGCCTGTTCATGACCGAGCCAAAATGTAAAACTGTCCATCTGCTCCGAGGACTCTGAGCACTCAGTTCACACTCAGCCAGGAAGACAGTTGATTTCCCTTTGGACACATTCTGATTCTAGTTTTTTACACACCTCTGTGGATGCTTTTCTTCATATACTGTAGGCTTCTCATTCTTGGTTTTATTGTCATTTACATAAAGTTTAATATAAATCTCTGGCCTGTTTTTTCCTGTGAATTGTTTGGCAGAAACTCTGACTTATTTTTCCAAACACAGGATTATCAGTATTCGTGCACAATTTAGCATTTATTAGAATATGAATTGTTTTTTCTTCCTTTTATTAATATCCTTTAGCACTTTTTTTTGTTAAGCCCTTGAACTATTTCAGCCTACAGTTGCTGGGGTTCGGTTCTGATCCATTTTTTTTACTAGATGTTAGTTATATACTGTCGGTCCCCTACTAGGCTTCGATAAAATAGAGCTAACGTCATGTGTAAAAAGATAACACAAGTAGACGGACCCCCCCGCTGACTCAGCAGCTGAACTCTCCTCTCCCTCGCCTGGGAACAAACACTCCCAGGCGACTTGTGTGTCGGTGGCACCTCGGGGCGAAACGCTGACTGCTGCAGGGTCGGGCAGGTCTGGAGCTGGGAGGTAATGTACGGCAGCCTGCTGACTGGAATCTCAGTGGAGGGCGAACGTCACGAGGGAACAGACGTACCACAGACACTGAGGATTTTGACTGGGATTGAGATTTCATGCTTCAGATGAACGCGTTTACAATCTGCTCTGCAAACATTGAGATTAAACTGCCAGACTTCAGTATAATATCATATCATCATATCTTATACTATAATATTGTTTGTATCTTAAATTCTGGATCTTAATTATAAGAATCATTCTTTCCTGACCGCACTGCAGGACCACACATCAGTAGACGCGAGCCGTTTTATTCACTCATTTGGGTCTGAAAGCTCACAAACCATCTTGAGCCCATATATTGGAAGTTTGCCTCTGTCTGGTAGAAACCATGAGCAGATGGAGCACATGCCGGTTTTGTATTTGGAGCTCTGGTTCGTACAGAGACGGGAGTCCTGAATCTGGTAATCCTCAAAGATCAGTGACACGGTCACTTGAGACAAAATCTGGAGCGTATTTGTCCGCCAGGTGTGAACTACAATCTGTCTCGACACAGGTGATATGACAACTGTGTGTGTGTGTGTGTTCCCAGTCGACCACGTGGTTCCCGAGCCTGGCGTCAGCCTCATCTCGGCCTTCGAGCAGTGGCGCGAATGGGCCGACAGCAAGTCCTGCTGCGACTACTCGCTGCACGTCGACATCACCGAGTGGCACAAGGGCATCCAGGAAGACATGGAGGCGCTGGTGAAGGATCACGGTACGGGCCACGCCCCAACTTATTCCATCATTGATTTTAGGAGCAACATTTCCTACAAATTAACAAATTCTTGCATCAAACAAGACTTAAAATAATGTTCTTCTGCAACTGAATTCAGTACATTTTCATTTTAATATATCTATATTAATAATATGTATATATTAATATACTGCAGCCACAACATTCAGGAATGTTTTTCACAGGCTGCCGCGTGAAGCCGAAACATCTGGATCGCCCCTGGTTAGTTTAGGAGGCGCTTGATTTGATATGCAGCAGAGTTTTCTGTGAGCAGAGCACGCATTATAAAAAAAACAAACGTCACAGTCGATCACGTTCATTTAATCGTGGAAGCCAAAATCGCGATGGCAGATTTAATATTGGAATAATTGTGCAGCTCTAGTGCACAATTAACCAAATACCACACTGTCTCTGTTTGTAGAAATGTTACACTTTACTCAACCTCTTGTAACACCCAGGATGTATTTGTCTCTGTTATCACACTTTCACACTCCGAATGGTCTAAGATGTTCTTCTGTGTCAGTCCTCCATTCCCCTCGTGGTTTTCACGCTGACATCTTGTCTTTTCTTTTAGGCGTCAACTCTTTCCTGGTCTACCTGGCTTATAAGGATGTTTTCCAGCTAAGTGACGCTCAGGTTGGGCTTCCTCTCTTCTCCCTGTCTCTTCTTTCTTCTTTCATGCCGTGTGTTGCCGAGAAACTGAAGACTATAATGCGTTTTCTCACATTTTCAGAGATGATGCATGCTATGTCAAAGGTCAAAGGAGAATCTGATATGATATGTTGGATTACTATGAAACCTGGAGGGAGCTTGGCATGCTGTGGCGCTGTATTCTGTTAACAATGACACTGATTGGCCTTGTTGAGATGTAGCCTCTTCCTACACTGAATCTAATTAAACCGGAATTATCCTCCAACACAAAAGTCGCTGCCGCACACGAATCCCAATCTGATTACAGTCGATCCTAATTGCCATCAGTGTTGCATGAAATATGAGATGCGAGCCACGGACACAGATGATGCTGTTTACAGTACAAGCAACGGTTGCATTAACTAAAATCAGTCAGTCTGCCAACAAGGTAGCCTTCATCCTGCACTGAGAGTTACAGTGCGAGTCTGTTTGTCTGGGCAACGCCGTCATCTCGTAGCAACTGTTTCTCTTATGAGACTGAATGGATAATAAAAAAAAAACAGTTCCTCGTCCAAGTCTCTCTCTCCGACTCGTGGTTAAAATGTTTTGGAAACAGATCAGTGTCGGCCTTTTCTGCACCTGTGCGAGGAAGGAGTTTTCTCTCTCAGGTCAAACTTTGACGGCTCTGTACTGTTGCATTTGTTTTTTTTTGCCGTCGGGGAAGGTGACGACTCACCGAACACGCCGGATTTCCCCACAGTCTGTGAAGTTATCGCTTAACGAACAAGCAGAGAGTGTGATGGACAAACTCGGGGTCCGTGTTTCATTTCAGCGCTAAAGTATGCACATTGGTAAAATACTTGACTAAGAAAATCCCGATCCCTCAAGACGAAAACACACCATACAGTACATGCTTTCTCATGAAATAGCCATGGGCCATACTCTCATGTCTATCCAACGGGTCAAATAGTAATCCATGTAGCAGTAACACTCCATGGACTCGTGTGCTTGTGGCTTGTATTGTGTAACTTGTGGATATGGTTTTGTGACCGCTGATCCTCAATTGATCTCATGTATGTGTAAATAAATGATTTATTCATCCATCATGGCGTGCATTAGTGAACACACGGTGAAGAGGTGATTGCATTTGTGCGTCAGAGATCATACCTGTGTCCCGCTCTTTGCTGCAGGTGTACGAGGTGTTCAGTGTGATCCGCGATCTGGGAGCCATCGCCCAGGTGCACGCTGAGAATGGAGACATCATAGCCGAGGTACGCCGCTCCACTCCAGTATGAGAGCCGGGATCTGGCGCGTCCAGATGCGTGATTTTCTGATGTTAAATGGAACATTTTGCCATTGTCGCTATCACTGCAAGGCTGATCGTGACTCAACATCTTCCATTTTTAACGGGTGTGTGTGTGTGTGTGTGTGTGTGTGTGTGTGTGTGTGTGTGTGTGTGTAGGAGCAACACAGGATCCTGGAGCAGGGGATCACTGGGCCTGAGGGACACGTATTAAGCCGGCCCGAGGAGGTAAGACAGAGTTTCAGCCCGCCGGACACCGACTGACCGGCCTGTCTGGGTCTTGGGGGCGAAAAAAGCTGGTTTGGCTTCGGGAAGCGAGTTCACCTCCGTCTTGTATTTGCAGAAGTCCCTTTTTTTTTGCGCTGCAGGCAGTTTTGACCTTTCCAACCTCCGCGGCTGTCGGTGTTTCGTTGTTTGACAGTTTTACATTCTGGCTGCCTCGGGAGATACTTGCACAGCCTCATCAGATTCACCTTCACGGGCTTCACGTAGTAACCCCACAGGTGTTACAGATAGGAGCACATCCTCTCCATAAATTGTCATTCACCGTGAACATCCAGATGTGGGAACAGAGTACAGCATGACTTATGGCAGCTGTTTTTATTGCTAAAACTTCTGTTTTTCTCCTTTTAAATACTCCCCTTTAATCGTATTCCTAAGGCAAGGGCAGACAAAAAGTCCTCTGTGGCGATTACAAGCTTCATTTAAGGTAAAGCACTGAGTGATCTCTCACTGCCCTGCGGGAATTGCTTCGGCAATGCTGTTGCTGCTCCGATGAATCAAATCTTGATTGTAATTCAAACTGTTATTTTTGTAGTGATTTATAGAATGGTTATTAAAAACCTCAGACAGAAGGAGAAAAGAGAGAAAAATGTAAAAAAATAAGCCGGTCTGATCCAAAAGAAGACGAGATGAAGAGTCCGCAGTGTTCTCTCCTCTTGGAAGACTTTGTTGGTGTTAAGTCATTGAAATATCGCAATCCTAGCACCTCACTTGTCAAAATAGACTGCCAAGGCATTAGCGTTGGTGCCAAATCCCCCATAAATCTACTTTACGATCATATGAAATGGGGAAATGATGGGCCTTTTAGTGTTCAGTAGTGGAGTGTGGGAGAAGAGAGAGAGTCACCCCACCGCTTTCTGTTGTCCCGTCTCTTCTCCAGGTGGAGGCGGAGGCTGTGAACCGCTCTGTGACTGTGGCCAATCAGACCAACTGCCCTCTCTATATCACTAAGGTGATGAGCAAGAGTGCTGCTGATGTCATCGCCCAGGCCAGGAAGAAGGGTGAGACTCTAATACATTCTCTAAATACAATCGATCTCAAGATTAAAAAAAAAAACACAAGACTCCTTTGACGTAAACAGTAACTTTACTTCACACAACACATAAGTTGCTGCCTCGATCTGTTTGTGTGTTTATGTTGTTGTGTTACTCTGGTGAGTCCGAACCCACCCTTTAAAACACCAAAGGTGGTTCAATTATTGATTTTATCAAAGGAGTCTTGTGGCTTTGGACCCGCTCCGTTTGTAGAGGTGAACGGCTCATTCTGAAGTTGTGAAAACGCATCGATTCCTATTTCAGGTTATTACAAACTGAAGAAAGTTATTATTATATTCCATTTTCTTTTGCCAATAGATCCCCCTAAATGCTTCACACCGGCCCTTTTTAAACTGATATTTTTAGGCGGCTACAATAAGTCTTGCTTCTGTCCCGTCCCGTACATTGATTTTCTTTCGTGCTGGTACCCGTGTCTGTTTCTCCAAACTGGAGGCGTGTCGACTGCCATCTACTGTCGGTAATACACACTCTGTGGATAATCGCCTCATACAAACCCACTTCACTTCAACTCTGAACCATCCCTTTAATGTCTCTTTGTTTCCAAAACTAGAAACTGGAGAGATGAGTGTTTAAACAAAACCACAGTCTATCCTGCTACCACTGAGACAAATACTTCATTTGTGGGTTTCCACAATTTTATTTAGGTTTTGGACTGGAATACCCATACTTACTTCAGCTCCAATCTAGTGTATTCATGCAGTCGTTTTTCCAGAAAACACAGACAGTAAAATAGACACAAACTGGTACAAACGGGAACCACTGCGACGGTCCACATGACGTGCGTGAAACAAACTCCAGGAGCGTAGTATCTGGAGGTATAATTGGGATCGGACTTTTCAGGCACCGTGGTCTACGGAGAGCCAATCACCGCAAGCCTGGGAACAGATGGTTCTCACTATTGGAGCAAGAACTGGGCCAAGGCAGCCGCCTACGTCACCTCCCCTCCCCTGAGCCCCGACCCCACCACACCAGACTATCTCAACTCCCTGCTCTCCTGGTAAGAGGAAGACTCAAGCTGGGGACACACGGTGAAAGATATCTTTATGTCCAATTGGATTGTACATTTTGTCAACAATGAACACAATATTCCCTCTTTCCTCCTCCTCTTCACACCTTCTGCGTAGTGGTGACCTGCAGGTGACAGGAAGCGCCCACTGTCCCTTCAACACCGCCCAGCGTGCCGTGGGCAAAGACGACTTCAGCTTGATCCCCGAAGGCGTCCATGGTACCGAGGAGAGGATGTCTATCATCTGGGACAAGTGTGTGGTATGTATGGCGAGCTAGGGGTGGGACATATGGATACATATCACATTATATGTAACTGTATACAGTTATATCTATAGGTATCATGATATATTACATTTTCTTTCAAATCAATTGATTTAATGCCTAAAATAACCTGATAAATGTCACGTCAGCATGTTAGCATTCTCACTCTGAGCATGTTAGCGTGCTAACGTTTACCTGATGCTAATGTATACACTTACATACATGCATATAAAGTATAGAGACGTGATGCACCAGTAGCAGAACAAAGGGAAACATGTAACAAAAAAAACATGCACACATAGAGAATGCACATCCATAACAACACACATAAGCACACACTAAAGTCCACATTGAGACAGAATGATTGAATAAAAAAAAAAAAAAGGGATGGCACAGAGAATATTAGGACAAACTAGAGTAGGAGAGTGACCTACTGTGATGTTCTCAATCTCGCCTCCGCTTCACTTCAGGTGACCGGTAAGATGGATGAAAACCAGTTTGTGGCGGTGACCAGCACCAACGCCGCCAAGATCTTCAACCTGTACCCCCGCAAGGGTCGCATCGCCATGGGTTCGGACGCCGACCTGGTGCTGTGGGACCCAGACGTCACGAAGATCATCTCTGCCAAGAGCCACAACTCGGTACCAGCTTCACGCATTACTTCATAGCGGATCATGGGAGAGGGGAGGCGTCTCAACGTCAAATGTTAAAGCCTCTATGCGTGTAGTTTCCATGTATGTGATTGATGTTTGTCACATTGTTTTTTTCAAATTTCAAATTCTACACATAGTGGCTTTAAGACCCCGTTGAAGGCTACTCGAGTTACTGTTGTTGTGAATGCAGACGGTAAAAGCTCTAACAATGAGTGAAATGAAAATATTAACTTCACTTATTTAGCACCTTTTATCTCAAACTGCTTCATAGAACATCATTTAAATGAGGAAAAAGGTTCAGCAGAATACTAGAGAATTAACAACAACACTAAATAAAATGTTTTCTATAAATCACAAGCTAATATCCACACATTTAAGACCATGCAGTTGAAATATGTCCATCTTATCACATCATTTCAGTCTATAACTGAGTCTTGAAAACTTAATTTAGACACGTGAAACGATTTCGTTTCTAGTAATGAAATGTGTCTTTAAAGAGATAAGAAACGGGCCGGATGTTAAACAAAAATACACAGAAAGAAAGACCTGGCTTTGAGCTCGGGGGCTTTGTTTATATTGAAACAGGAAAGGGGTCCTTCTGGAACAGCTGCCACAGAGTTGGAATCTTGCTGTTTAAAATATCCTTGTATGCTGCAGAAACTAAGTGGCCTGAACTAGCCGCACACCACTAGCTACAAAACGTTTGTGAACAGGGGTTTCCACATACTTCTGCCATATAGTGTAAACATGGCAGTTAACATTACTCCAAATTAAAAAGAGTGTTTTTTAAAAGCACCAAGTGAGCGAGTGATTCCACATGAAATACATCCCCTAAAAATATAAAACTCTACTGTGTGATAATGATTAATGATGAGAATAATTCAGTTAATGTAATTGGTGGCATTGATGTCAGAGCGACTGCTTCATTAGTCCGCTCGCTCTGTTTGGCCGTCTCACGGTTGAACAGGGTGTGGGCCTCACACAG